CCTCCGCCCCTGAATCCACCGCGGTCGCCTCCGCCTCTGAAACCACCGCGGTCGCCTCCGCCGCGTCCACCGCGGAATCCACCACGGTCTCCTCCGCCGCGTCCACCGCCGCGTCCACCACCAAATCCACCGCGTCCTCCAGAGTCTCCTGGAAGGAGCGTTAGAAAACGTTAGCAGAGTGACATTTCCACGCACCGAATGCCATGTTTTTGAGGGGGGGGAACGCGAGAGTCAAGAAATTTTTGCGGAGTGATTGGGCAACAGATGTACATACCACTCGGCTATACCCGGACACTGCGTGTGCTGCGCGCTCATTGACCTCCAGCAGCAGCAGCCATGTCGCAGTCTCCCATGATCTCCATTCCAAAGAAGACCACAGACGAGGTCGACTGGACCACCCCAATCCGCAATCTCATCGCGCAATCCTATGGCGAGAACCCAGACAATTACTCCGCAGAGTGCGCGTCCCTCCAGCGCTGTAGACAGGACGCCGTGCGCGGGGCTGGCAGCGATATGACCGCCCGCGATCTGCTCTACAAGTACTTTGGCCAGCTCGAACTGCTAGAACTCCGCTTCTCCGAGATTCGCGTCACTTTCCCTTGGCACGACGCGTTCACCAACAAGCTCACCACCCAGACATCCATCGCCTATGAGAAGGCGTCCATCCTGTTTCAGATCGCCTCTACACACTCCGCGATCGCATCCTCGCAGAACCGCTCCTCACCCGAAGGTCTCAAGCGCGCGTTCTACTACTTTCGCACCTGTGCGGGCATGCTCACGTACATCAACGAGAACTTTCTTCATGCGCCATCCAAGGATCTGAGCAAGGAGGTCGTCAAGTTTCTTGTCAACCTCATTCTCGCTCAGGCAACAGAGGTCTTCTGGGAAAAGTGTGTCGAGGAGAAGAAGCCCGCCGGGCTTACCTCCAAGATGGCCTCGCAGGCCGCTTCCATGTACACGACGCTCTGCGAAGAGGTTAAAGAGTTTATGGGCCAGAACATACTCGATCGGCATTGGGTCACCCTCATCCAGGTACATCATCTGTCGCGTCCTCTGCTATGGCTAATTTCTTCTAGATCAAATCTAAATATTTAACGTCCCAAGCGCAGTACCATCGCTCTATCGCCGACACCGACGCAGGGACATATGGCGACGCCCTGGCGCGACTCACCCTGGCCGAGTCCCTAGCGAAAGAGGCTTTACGGCTGTGCTCGTCGTTCACCCCAACATTCACCCCAGCGACTTCCACCGCCCCGTCCTCCTCCACTCTCCCCGCAGATGCCGCCACCTCCATGGCCGCTCTCGCCAAGTCGCACTTGGCGCTCGTCAGCGACCGCCGCACCGCCGCCAACCGCGAAAACGACCTCATCTACAACGCGATCGTCCCCTCCGTCGACACGCTCCCGTCCATCGAGACCAAGACGACGCTCACGATCGCCGCCCCGATCCCGATCCAGGAGGTCTACGGCGCGCCCGACGTGCAAAAGACCATCGGCGCCGACTTTTTCGGGCGGCTCGTCCCGCTGAGCGTGCACGAGAGCGCGTCGGTGTACTCGGAGGAGAAGGCGAAGCTCGTGCGCGGCGAGGTCGAGCGCGCGGACACGGCCGAGGGCGAGGCGCGGAGCTTCCTCGACGGGCTGCACGTCGTGCAGGGGCTCGAGCGCTTCCGCGGGATGCTGCAGGATAGCGGCGCCGGCGGGGGCGTGCCCCCCGAGGTGGCGCGCTGGGCGGAGGACATGGCGTCCATCGAGGGGCGGGAGAGCATCGCGTCGCTGTTTTCGCAGCTCGAGAAGCTCAAGGGCGCGTTGAGGGCGGAGCTCGATCCGGGGGGCGGTATCGCGCGGGAGCTCGATGCGGAGAGCCGGGATTGCGAGATGATGCGTGTGCGGTATGAGCACTTGTGGGCACAGGCGCCCAGCGCGGGGCTGAGCAAGTCGCTGAGGCAGGACTTGAAGGCGCATGTGGTTGCGATGGAGGAGGCGGCGCGGAGTGATGCGCAGGTCCAGGCGATTTGGGAGGGCGTGCGGCCAGACGTCGAGGTGCTTATTACGGGCAGAGTCGACGGTTTCTTTGCAAATCAAGAAGACAAAGGCAGCTTGTTGGATCTCGGGGAAGAGGCGGACAGGACGGAGAGGGAAGAGAAAGAGAAGATAGCCGGCCTCGTGCGCGAAATTGAGGAGCGACTCGCGACTCTCAAGAAGATTGAGAAGGAGCGAAACGAGGTTTTGAAGGATCTGAAGGAAAAGGTCAGTTTCTGTTCGCGGTGGGGTGCAACTATTCAAACATTTTCAGATTCAAACTGACGATGTTTCGCACTTACTCCTTCTGAACCGGCGGAATACCGGGGTCGAGCCGACACTCTTTGCTGCCGAGTTGGAAAAGTTCCGGCCCTATCAGCAGCGGCTCGCGGCCACCATACACCACCAAGAGGTGGCTCTCCAAGATGTCGCGGCGCGCTGGAAGATGCTCAAGGATGCGACGGACTTTAGAAGCCCAGCACGTAAGTGGGATGAAAGGGAGAAGAAACGGAAGGACACCGTACGAAGGTTTGGGCGGGCGCGGGAGGGATACGAGGAAGTTCGGGACGGTTTAGCGTGAGTGTGTGCTGGACCTTTGCTCTCTCTCAACTCACATTATGCACAGGAAGGGCCTGACGTTCTATGCCGAACTGACAGAGCTGACGACGAAGCTGCGACGAAGCGTCAAGGCATTCGTGGCGGGTAGAATTGACGAGCGAGAGCGTCTCGTCGCCAAGCTTGAGAGCGAGAAGCGGTTCCCGCCGTCGGGTCCTCCGCCTCTCGCCGCCAAGCCTCCGCAGTCTGGTCTGGAGTCTGGTTTCGGCGGAATGAGCTTGGGAGGCTCGCCGGCGCCGCCTCAGCAATGGCAATCGACGGCGTCTCGATCCCCTCACCAGCCGTATCCGCCCCCACCCCCGGCGCAGTACTCTTCGCCGCCGCCGCAATCCTATCCGTCTTCCCCTCCTCCGCCGTCCCAACCCCAATACACCTCGCCGCCGCCACCGCAATCCTATCCGTCTGCCCCTCCTCCGCCCTCCCAACCCCAATACACCTCGTCGCCGCCGCCGCCTGCTCCTCAGCAGTATTACTCCCAACAGCCGCCCCCGCCGCCTTCCCGACAACAGTCCTTCCCTCCCCCTCCCCCCCAACCCACGCAATACTCCCAGCCTCCACAGTCTTACGGCTCTTCGCCGCCGCCAGCCCCCGCGCATGACCCCTACGCCAGCCTCGGGAACCTCGGGATGTTCTCGCCGACATATTCCACACCACCCCCGCCGTCGTCGGGTGCTTCCGCGCCCCCGCCGCCCCCTCCGTCGCAGGGCTCATACGCCCCTTCATACGCGCCGAATTCGCTGCCGCCGCCGCCGCCGCCGCAGGGGCAGGGGCAGGGGCAGTACGGTGGTGGGTATCAGTACCAGCCTCAGCAGCAGCAGCCCCCGGCTCAGCAGAACTTTGGCGGCGGCGGCGGCGGCGGCGGCGCGTTCCCCCCGCCGCCGCCGCCTGTGTCGTACCAGTACGGCGCGCCCCCGCCGGCTGCTCCCCCGCAGCACCAGTATCAGCCGCAGGGACAACAGCAGGGGCAGTATCGGGGATATTAGGATTCGGTCACTTTGTAGTAAATTATTAACTTTGTTGTAAGGATGACAGGGCGGAAACCGCCATTTTTTTGTACAAAGTTTCAGGCAGAGGCAGTCTTCCTGTCGTGGTCGCTTTGAGAGATACCTGGCATTTTGCGCAGTGGGGAGCCTGCTCGATTTGACGAGAGACCGTTGACTTTCTCGAGCTCGTTCGACGTGAATGTAAAAAAGCAGGCCAAGGAAGCGAAATGTGTACGAAAGATTCTCTGGGCTCTAATGCATATTTGCCCTCAGGCTTTCACTTTGATTCTAGTCTCTGATTTCTGATCCTTGTACCCTTCAAGAACTTCAGCAAAATTCATTCATATCTATCTTCCCAGCTGAGCGTTTATTTTCGTTCTCCGCGGCGTAGGTCCACATGTACACTCCACCTCAAACCACTGCCATTCCAGATTAGTCCGGTGTCCCGAGAAGTCGTGTTAGGGTGTATGGCCCCGCACGCCCGTTGCACCTGTTGGAATTCCGAGTCCATCGCTCGCTATCTCCAACGCCGCAGCCTGGCACGGCAAGGCAACAACTTATCTGCTATGTTGAATTCCTGCATTTATCATGTTCAAATGCGTATTTTGTCCCCTTGTGCCTTACTTACGCTCCAGTTGTTCTAATTCTGTCTCTTGTTAGTTGTTTTGGTTCCTGACGAGTTGTGTATATTACCTAGTAGTTTTCGAATGAATCCCCTGCGCGTTTGCGAGGGTCTTCTGCTATTCCCGAGTAAAGGCCGCAGCTACCTTTATTTCAACAGCACCAATGGAGTTGACCGGCGTCTGGGTACGCCGTTGCCTTGCGCAAATCCTGTGGGTCCCACGGGCCGGGTGCAGCTGTGGGAGTTCTACTAGTAGTTCGTGATCATGCTGCACGGAACTTGAACTTCCTTCCTCCAATGTTTGATTCACCGCAGCGGGAAGAGGCGGACATTCTCACACCCTTTTAATGTTCCGGAATCAACGGCATGGGAGGCGCATAGAACGCTGTTTTATGGCCGGTTACAGATATCTTTTTGAAGTTCAAATCGACTTTGAGCTTGTTCGGCGGGCACGGCATCACAGGCCGAGACCCGGAAGATGCCGGAATCTGTACTTACTTTCCATTTTGGGAAGTCGATCAAAAAATACGATCAGCTGAAGGGATCAAACCCAGTGCTCCTCCAGAACAGCTGTAGTACCCGTATCTTGCTCTCCTACACATCCCAGAGCACAGTTAGATCCATTTCGGACCTATCGGAAGCTATATGAAATGCGGTGGAGCTGTAGCTGATCGAAAAATTGATTTCTCATCCAGGGGTGATTCTGCGACGCCCTGGGATGTTTAGGAAGCAAAAATAGGTGCTACAGGACAAGCAAAAGATGGGCCCAACCGGGAATTGAACCCGGGACCACACACACAGTTACGTAATCGTAAGGGATGCAACCCGAAGCGTGTATCATACGTCTAGACCATTGGGCCGATGAAATCGGATTGCTTTTACTGTGCTATGGCTTACAGTCTGTGCCTCAGGTCGCTGAGTGCTTAGCATTTATCATCCTTTGTCGAAGTATAAGTGATTAGCGGTTTGACCTACTATTATATATATGCCCACTGGGTCTGAAAATGCATAATAGGTCTGGAAGTCGAGTTTTTATCCCTCCTCTGTTTCCCCCTTTGTCTCTGATCTTTTTCGAATGCGAGAGAGTACTGCAAGAGTAAGTACAATGCTATAACTATGCCGAAGAACTAAGGGAGAAAGCGAGATGAAGGTATTAAGACAACCCCACCGATGCAATGGCAAGCAAGTTGACCATGATCTCGCCTCGTAGATCACCCCACAATTTCAAGGAAATTTTAGGGGGGATTTTGATACCTCTGAGACTCCTTTGGCCTCCAATTTTTCCCCCGCTGGAGGTCGCTGTCTTTTGGAGGCAAAGGCACGCTTGTGACATAATGTCACTTGAGGGCACAACCAAGTTCCTCCCTCCACTACACGACGGTCTGACTCCAGAAGACTATGGAAAAGGTTATATGTCGCTGGTAGGGTTCCAAAAAGCCACCGAATTTCCTGCAGAATTTTAAGATTAGTTAAAGAACATCAACCCGACCTTGATAGACCGGGAAGTTATTTTGAACACCTTTTCCTCTAGTCTCTTGGACCGACTTCCCACTCGCAACCTCATTCTCCTCAAATGTTGGACATTTTTGGTATGAGTGCATACAACTAGCACAGCTAACAGTACCGGATGATTCCAGGGGCAATGGACAAGGGAGGAGAGGAAATACGATTTTCAGACCCAGACCCGATGTATAAATGATTGTCACAAATTGGGAGCGGCTTGACCTATGCATAATGACTCACCAAATTGTGATCAATATTCATCGACGGATTCCCGTACCGACTCTTTCCTCGGGTCTAAATTGCGACGCTCCAATGAAGCTCAATCGATTTAGATACAGTACAAACAACTACTTATTTCTTTTCCTTCGCATTGTTTTACACTCTGAATCCACCACACTCGCCTGGGTTATTTGATTTGAAAAAATTACACAGGTAATTTTAGTCTGATCAGACTTTGCAGATGCTGGATTTGAGGTCAACGAAGTTCCAGAGGACGTGGTGAAGCGCACTGACGCCGAGATTGATTACTTGTGCTCAAGGAGGCGTTTCTCGGCCTCCTCGAAGTTGATCACGTTCCAGATAGCGTTGAGGTACTGTGAGCGATTATGTTAGCGACAGCAGGAATGAGCCGATATGACGTCATCTCGGCTAGAGATGGCGACGGAATATCGATGGAAATCGCTCGTTAAGAGACAAGACGTACATCAGGCTTGACGTTGAGGTACTGGAGGTAGAAGGCGTTGCTCCCAGATGTCGACGCCGATGAGCGGCACGAGGTTGAGGAGCGGGTCCTGGTTCGGCGTCGTGGAGACTTCAAGACGCTTGGTAGCCAGGTTCAGGCCCTGCACCTCGCGTCAGATCACGTCGCGGAATAGCAGGTGAACGTACGAGCCATCCCCAGCCGGAGCCTTGGATGCCGAGGGTCGCGGCGTTGAACTCCTTCTTTAGGGCGTCGAGGCTACCAAAGTCGCGGTCGATGGCCTGCTTGAGGGGTCCGTCGTGGAGAAACACCACCCTTGCCGCCCTTGTCCGACGCGGGCGCGAGGTTCTTCCAGAAGAGCGAGTGGTTTGATGTGTCCTGATGGGAGCGATAACGATATGTAAGCACTCTGAACTCATACAAACAACGGCAGGTCTTACCACCACCGTTGAACTTGAGGGCAGCCTGGAGAGCAATACGCTCCTTGGGAGTCGCGGCCTTGGCGTAGGACTGCTCAGCGGCATTGAGGGCGTTCACATAGGTCTGGTGGTGCTTGGTGTGGTGGAGAGTCATGATTTGCTTCGAGATATAGGGCTCCAGGGCATCGTAGGCGTAAGGTAGATCGGGCAGAGTGTTGGACATGGTGGAACGGTGTTTGTGGAGGGTAACGGAGTAAGAGTGGGTGATGGTTGAGAGCAAAGACGATTCGTTTGTGATTTGGGTCACCTGTGACCGGTTGCTTTCTCATCCCATCTGAAGATGCGCCCACGGCATCCCGACGCGTGTTGTCTCGGATTCATTTCTGCGATTATAAGCTCTTTGTATTTTTACGGCCCGCAAGGGTAGGACCGGCATGGTGAGCGAGCAAAGGACTCGAATCGGAATACGGACTAGTCTGTACTGTCATGATACGGAAGAACGTCCGTTCAAAGCAGATATTGACCATCACAACGCCCCGGCTAGCACAGTTACTATTACCCCGAACCGACGCTTAATGACAGTTTTCCTTCTCGTATATAGTCTCGATTGAGGGAGTCACCTCCAGTGTCTCTAAAAGGCAATTTGGGGCTGTGCATATCTTCTTGAGTTTATTCCACAGTGGTTTGTTCTCTTTCTGGGTCTCGCGGGAGTCTAGAAGTAATCAATCGTACTTGACTTCCGTTCAAATCCTTCGACCTGTGTCATAAAAGCTACCTCTCCCACTCGAGTTGCGTTCGCCGAACCATAGTATCGCTGGGAATCGTTCATCCCACACCACAATGTGCACTACCACTCCGTCCGCAGCATTCCAGAAGCCAGAAGCAACGGCAAAGATGCGCGCAAAAACTCGTGATCATTGTCGCCATGATTGCTGTGCCTGCAGCACTTGACTGTGATGCTGCGCAGAGACGGAAATCGCGTCGCAGAAAAAAAACGCGGCGAGTGCTGCCCAATCCAGTTGCTGGTAGTAAAGCACATCGAGGTCAATATTCAGCAAAATTCGCTCGAGGTTCGACGCCGGGAGTCTCGTTACGAGCCGAAACAGCGCATTGGGATCGAAATCGATACTAGGCGATGGCCAGTCATAGATGGACAGTGTTTCAAGGTGGGGGTGCAGTGCGAGGTCAAAAATAGTTACAGGGTCAGCTGAGTGGGTTCAGAAAAGCGCAAAAAGAGCACTGATGATGGACGGACCCTCTGGTGCCAGCAATGACAGGTCTATACTGAGATGGCGGAGGGCTGGACCGAGCTGCTGCATCGACAGGCGCACAGTTGGGATGTCGGTGTGGCGCAGCATCGGGAGTGCAACACAGTCCATGTTTGAAAGATGGTTTGACTTTATGAGCCACGCGAGGATTGGGCCAACCAAGTCCCTGGTACTGATGTCTATGCGGCGCATCCCCCGCGGAGGCACCACACCTGGAGGAGGATCCAGTGATATGCGGCCGCTGGTCATCCAAATGTGCAGCCTCTGCAAAGCAGGGAAGAGGGATATGATCTCAGGGAGGGGTACGCGATCAGGGCGGATGTCGAAGGTGAGAGTTAGGCGAGCAACGTGCGGGAACGACGCAATGAAACCGGTACAGTAGAATGCGTGCGCATTGGCCTGCAGCTGGCAGTTGAGCGACAAGTTGAGCTCAAGGACGCCACCGAGACCCGCCGCAATTTCATCGAAAACGGGGTTGTTCAAAGACCACTCGTGTCTCACGGCATGTACGCCGCGAATATGCTCCGCAAAAGTGCACCCGGGGGTTGACAGAAGATCGCGGAAGACAACGACGCTGTCTGGAAGGAGGGTGATTTTGTGGAAGAGGTGTGATCTAGCGCGGAAGACCCAGGCCCGACATACGAGAGAGCCAGATTTCAGAGATTCGAAATCCATATGGTCCAAGATCTCTTCAATGAGTTCTTGAGGCAATTCGATGGTCATGGTTCTAAGAGAAATGGACACAGCCCCAAATTGCCTTTTTCGGCTATTAGAGGTTTTTCAGGGTTTCAAGAATTGGGGGACGGCAGAGAAGATTGATAAATCAAGGAGCCCTGGATGCAGGAAATCCGGTACATAGGAACCTACGAGACAAAATTTCCAGAGCCATGTTTCAGGTACAACAGGCTCAGAGATGCGGAGGAGAGCAAAATCTGGACGTGTACTATGTATCGTACTTCTATAGACCGTAAAGAAAATGAGATGGTGGGAAAACACAACGGAGAACGACACAGGAAACGACGTGTATTGGAAAGTGGGGAGGATCGAAAAAGAGTAATAGAATGACTCCTCCGCGGCGGGCAAGAACTTTTGCATCTGGTCTCCTGGTTACTGTCCACATCCGGGTTCCAGGTTGAAGGCTGTAGAGATGCTCGATATATTTCGTGATGGTCTCCTCATTTCTGATCAGTCCAGATGATGATTCCGGTGGATCTTCGACCTTGTCTTGAACGAGACGGGGGTGGGGGGTGGACGTGTAAGGGTTACCAGAACTGCCGATGCAGGCGACGTTGTGAGACTGCGTTGCTGAGACTGTGTGATTCTGGGGCTTCGGGGACTGGGCGGAAGCCAATGTGCGAGGAGCGGCGGGCGCGTCTGAGAGTGGAGGATCGGGATTTTTAAAAACATGGACTGAGGAGGGCAAACTAGGGAAGGAGACCGAACCAGGGGTGGTGCAGGACGACAAACGGGAGCCGGAATCCTGGAGCAGAAGAGGCTTCTCGAAGCTGTTGACCGCAATGTCGGCGCGCTGTACAGATTCTCTGCTGGGCCTGGGGATGCAGCTAGCAGGACCGGCCTTTCAAACAGTCGGACTGCATATGGTATGCTTGAATACAACAGTGTGCTTTGATATAGTCGAGGAGTGGCGGACGTAGAGAGATTTATTGCAACCACGATTCCACGATCCGGGACTGCCGAAGTCGGGCAGATAAACGACGCTGATCGACGCAGATGAAGAGCCAGTGTACCGTGCAATCTTGAGCTTGGCTGAGACCTGGTCGCCTAGTAAACTTGTCAAGAATTGTTTGGATCCTATTGAAGACAAGACGAGAGTCTCAAAGTAAAGCCCAAGCGAATGACAAGTAGCCGAGATGCAAAATATTCGAGTCGACTGTGGTGGCGGGAAGAGAGGGCGATGGTCACCAGTCACACTTGTTACACACCACCCTCACCATGGTCAGTCCCGCGCC